GGTGTTTGCCTCCTAGGTGTGTGACATCATACTGGGTTCATAAGGAAAGGGTTAACTTATTGTAAAATGACTAATCAATGGGAACCCAAGGGGACAGAGTTAACTGTGTATAAGGTTTAAGCACAGAGGGTTTTGGAGGAGCTGGGAGTTAGAGTTAGGGTGGTTGAATTAGGAAGGTATAGGCCTGTAAAGAAACTAAAGTTAAGATACTGACAGGAATATTATCTGAGAAACCATAAACTTGTTAATGTTTGTAAAATGTTTGTTTTTGGGTTCACTTTTAACAACTGACTGGACTCAGTGTTTTACCAAAGAGTAACTGGTTGACGGCAGCAGGGAAGCGAGCACAGTGGTGGCACAGGGATCAATAGACCGTTAAACGACTGGGGGCCCTGTGTGATCGCCACAATGGGCAACTGGCCAGATCCAGCAAGCTCTTTTTACATTTTTATGTCCCCGTCCCATGCTTCCGGATCTGAGAAAGCTCAAAGGAAGGAGTTCCTTCATGATGTCTCCCTCTGGGCTTTAACTGGAGGATGGGCACCTGGGAAGGCTGCAGAATGCAGATTACTGGTGAGATGATTTAGGACTGGGAAAGTCTCCCTGCTGGAAACCCTGGAGAGCCACTGCCAGTCCGTGTGGACAATATTAAGTTAGATGGACCAGTGGTCTGAGTTGGTATAAGGCAGCTTCTTATTATGTTATTATTATTTACATTTGTCAGTTGCTTTATACAAGCAAGTCTAGAAATATATTAACAAGATAAAACACAAACAGATAAAATCAATTAAATGAGCACGTCCCTAGGATCTACTCATATTTCTAAAAAAGAAATACAGTGGTACCTCAGGTTACATACACTTCAGGTTACATACGCTTCAGGTTACATACACTTCAGGTTACAGACTCCGCTAACCCAGAAATATTGCTTCAGGTTAAGAACTTTGCTTCAGGATGAGAACAGAAATTGTGCTCCAGTGGTGCGGCAGCAGCAGGAGGCCCCATTAACTAAAGTGGTGCTTCAGGTTAAGAACAGTTTCAGGTTAAGTACGGACCTCTGGAACGAATTAAGTACTTAGCCGGAGGTACCACTGTAAACCAAAGATTACCAAGTTTACATAAGTCTCCAGTGTTCTGTTTTCCGTTGGAATCCAAACCCTGTCTGCACTGCCTCTCAAACTTTTTGCTGCTCAGGGAAGTGAGAAGCACAGAACAATATATACAATCTAAGTGTTGCTGATTTTTTAAAGCCACTTTTCTTTTTGGAAATAAATGCCTGTGAGGAATACCATTTGGAGTGGAAACACATTGGTCCCTTCGATACATCTCCTGCAATTTCAGATCATGAACGCAAACCATAGTTCACTACATCAGAGATCATCCCTCTGCTCTCCATCCCAAATGTGTGCAACTTCTTAATATGGATGTGCCAAATTGCATAACCTCAGTATGACATGCAGAGAGAGAGAGAGAGATTAATACAGCCCTGAACCATATGAAATGTCACTCAATTGGTTTAAAGAAGGGGCAAAGGAGTCCTCCAAGAGAGTGTCTTTTTTACAACATGAATTTATATGATCTGACAGTCACACATTCCAAAATTGAATTAATAAATCATTCACAGTCCTGGCTGGAATAGTTAATACATTTTTTGTGCCCCAACAGAGAGGAAAATGCCCTGCTTTCCTTAGCTTTATGACACATTACGCCTAAATAGAATTAATGATTAGGCACTCTAACCTTATTTACTACTGCAGTGTGCTCTTTCTCAAGGAAAGGTAAGTAAAAACAGCAAATAGAAGCTCCCCCTTCACAGCTCGTGGGATTTGGGTATCTTGGAATTGCATTAGTGCTCATCATTGCTCTGCGCAGTTGTGTGGCTCTCTATAGGATATGTTGGGAGAGATAGATGACATTGTATACTGCAGTTTCAGAACCTCTGTAAATTTTCATTTCTTTATGCCTTCATCATAATGATCTGTCAAGGAGTCCCAAACCTCTAAAGAGAAGAGAAATGTTGTGAGAAATGCTCTTTGTGGATACAAGGTGGCTTACTTTTTTAGCCTGGGTGCAGGGTGATCTAGGAAGGGGGCAGTGAGTACACAATACTAATTTGCCCCATCATTTAATTTGTGACAAGATACGAGCTTTCATTTAAAGGAAGACGACTTGTTTTGAGAATAGAAAGGCAGCTGAATAATCAGTTGCAGGTGGTTATCCCACCTCCATGGTCCATGCTCCACTCATCAACTTGTATCAGGTTTTGTTCATCCAAGATGCCCCCAGGACTCCCCCCCCCTTTGCTGAGTGGATTCACCACATTGTCACTGCTGTTAATTTGCTTGTCACCTTCCTTTGGGCCAAATTCACATGGAGGGGGCAAAGCACAGGGATATTTATTCATTTCAGTTATTCTTACATATTCTCCTCCAAGATGGCATACGTGGCTCCCCCCTCCACTTGGCAAATCCACTTCTCATCCTCCTTGGCTTAGGGTGGATTTTTAAGATCATTGCCAGCTTTATATCATGAAAATATTCCCCATTTGAAGCACCTTGTGAGCATGGCAGGGTTCTTTCAGGGGTAAATTAAAACATGTTTTAACATGATTTAAGGAAATTATTCATCACAAGTAAAGATAACTTGTGACACCAAAAATAAGTAAGAACCTCAACTGACAAATAATTATTGTTGTTCACCTAAAACATTTTGGATGCTCAGGATTATTGGGTTGCTTTTGCTTTTGTTATGTATTTTGTGTTTTTATATTGCATTTTATGTTGTAACTGCCCTGAGACCTGTGGGTATAGCGCAGTACACAAATTAATTAATTAAATCATAGACACTTGGGTGTGGCAAGAAGGTGATAGGCACTTCTGATGTTTCTAAGGAAATTGCTGGTTTTCCATTCATTTCTTTAAAGTCCCAACTTTAAGGCAGCACTGCCTAGTGAGGAAACTGACTGCAACTCAGGCCTTTTGACATTACAAGTCACTGCAGCAGCTCTTATAATCTCCTGTTCTGTTTCCTGAAAGTGTAGGGTGGCCTTTTCCTCCTTCAGATGGCAAGAGTTTCTATAGAGTGGGGAGGGCAGGGACAGTGCCCAGACTTCAGCTCCCATCAGCCCAACTCAGTCTGGCCAATAGTCAGGAGTAATGGGATTTGGAGTTCAGCAGCATATGGAGAGACACAGGTTTCCTACAATTGCCCTAGAACATCATGCAAATTGTCATGCTAAGTCAAGTCAGTGGGTCCAGCCTATTTAACCATTCTGTATCTCTTACAATAATCAGCTAGATGCTCCAGAAGGAATTAATAAGCGGGACAAAACAGAGATTGATTCCTGTCCTTTATGGAACTGGAAGGGTGGTAGGTCAGTGGTATAGCCCCTGACTTGCATGCGGAAAGCCCCAGTTAAAATAGGAGTAGGGAACATTTTTCATTCTGAGGGCCCCTTTGTCTCATGGGTAACCTTCCTGGGACATGTGTCAGTGGTAAAACTGAAAATTTCCCACACCCACTCAGATATTATCACACTTCAAGGACACATTCCAGCCAGGCTAAAGCACTTGAAGAGTCATCAGATTGAGGTGATGGTGAGTGGGTAGCCCAGAGACAGAGGGTGTAGACTAGGAAGGTGTGTGGCTTAGGATAGAGATGTCTGGAGGCTGTATTTGGACCCCACGGCTTGTTAAGTATAATTGCTTGATATATATTGAAATAAAAAATAAATATATAATGTGCCTGTGAAGCATGGCTGGATATTTCCATTGAAGCTGAAGAAGAGCCTGACACGTTAGTGATTAGGTGGGGCTGTATCTCTGTGCCTCAGGCACAAGTGTGTTTAGCTCACAGTCATATGAAAAGGATTGTATTACAGACCCAAGCATATTTTATTCTGGACGGCATCCATGTTTGGGTGTGAGCTCTTTGTTCCAAACTACTGAAGAGAATGGACATATGAATCTCTGTCTCCCGCAAACAGCCTGAGGCTAATGGAGGGTGCAATTGAGAAGAGACAGAGTTTTTATTTTTACCTCAGGATACAAGATATTTGTGATCTAATATATATGCGTTATGATGGGGCCAGTTTAAGAAATTATGCAACCAAATGAATTCAACTTTATTTGTTGTAAGTTGTTTTGAAGTTAAGTTCTATCAGCAAAGCTTCTGAACCATATTTTTGGACTGGAGAATTTTTATTCCAATACAAGAGTCAGTTTTTATTCATCCAACAGCTTCCATATGCACAATATCAATAATCTCAATATGTCTGAGCTTCTCCAGCCCTGTGTTAGAAGAATGAGGGGAAGAGCTCTGTTGGATAGCTGCTACCAATCAGAACAGACAATTTTGGCCTAGGTGGGCAAACAGCACTGTAAGAAAACAGTGTTCTATATTCCTATCCTATGGAACACTGGAAGCTGGTCAACTATGGCTAATGGAGCACTGCTCTACCAACCTCAGTCTGCCCTCAGCCAGTCACCACCAGTTTGCCTTCTTACTTACAGCCAGTCCAGGTGGGTGGTCCTAGCTGTCAGCTTCCACTTCCTTTTCCTTGGCCTGTTTTGCCCTTGTAGAAAACATCAGGCAGGGTGATGGGCACAAAACTAAAATTCGTTGGCTCTGCCAGCCACTGGACTCCCTGCTTTCTGGTGCCAGTGGGTACCAGCTACTACTGCTATAGAACAAGGGTGGGTGGTGTGGCGATCACACAGGGTCCCCGGACATTTCACCATCTATTGATCCCTGTGCCACCACTTTATTTCTCGCTGCCACCACCCAGGCCCTACCTGGGACAATACTGAGTCCAGTCAGGGTTAAATTGAAACATAAACTTTTGTTTATTTATTGCAGTTTAGCAAGTGTGTGGTTTCATAAACAGTATCAATTACATTCATGGGGTACCTAACCCCATGACCCCATAACCAGACCTGTAACCCCATAACCAGACCTATAACTTTCGCTACCTGCTCTCACTCACTAAACCACCTCTCAGATACAGTGGTGCCTCGCAAGACGAAATTAATTCGTTCCGCGAGTTTTTTCGTCTAGCGAATTTTTCGTCTTGCGAAGCACGGTTTCCCATAGGAATGCATTGAAATTCAATTAATGCGTTCCTATGGTCAAAAAGTCCAAACAAAGCCAAATTTGGTACAACAAGAGTTTATTAACTGCTCTTTAAAGTCACACATACTTTAAAGAGCATATCAAAATTGAAGGAACAATAAATTAAGTTTCTAAACATGACAGGAAAAACATTTAAAAATCAAAAAAGGGTACATTACATTTTCTAAGACTCTGGGGGACCACTCAAAGAAGGTTCCTCTTCCACTCTTTGCTTCTTGCTGAGGAACCTGTCCATGGTCTGCTGCTTCATCCGCCTTTTCAGCAGCTCCCTGAGAGGCGACATGACCGTCGTATCAAAAATGTTCGCTTGGTCATGTGCCACGTGCTTGTCAGGGTGGTGCCGCTCTGCAAAAGCCTGCACCTCATTCCACTTCTGGCAAATGTCCCTCAGTTCTTTGGAGGACAGCCGTTCCTCAGTTGCTTCCTCCTCTTCCAGCGAGGCCTGCTCCTGCGCAACCTCTGACTGCAGTTCAACCAGCTCCTGGGTGGTCAGCTCGTGGTCGTGCTCCTCCACCAGCTCGCAGACGTCCTCCTCTGTGACCTCCAGGCCCATGGTCCTCCCCAAGGCAACAATGTCCTGCACCACTGTCGACTCTGGTGCATCAGAGTCACTTGGTGCCACACAGTCCGGCCACAGGCTGCGCCAAGCGCAATTCAAATTCCTCTGGCTGATCCCCTTCCAGGCCGTGGTGATCATCTTCAAGCAGGTGACGATGTCGAAGTGGTCCTTCCAGAATTCCCGCAGGGTGATGGTGGTGCAATCAGTCACCTCGAAGCATCGCCTGAAAAGCTCCTTGGTGTAGAGTTTCTTGAAATTGGCGATGACCTGCTGATCCATCGGCTGGAGCAGTGGCGTGGTGTTAGGCGGCAGGAACATGATGTTGATGAAGCTGAACTCCTCCAACAAGTCCACCTCAAGGCCTTTAGGATGAGCAGGAGCATTGTCCATCAGAAGCAAAGCCTTCAGCGGCAGGTCGTTGTCCAGCAGGTACTGTTTGACAGCAGGGCCAAAGGCAAGATTGACCCAGTCCACAAACAGCACACGTGTGACCCAAGCCTTGCTGTTGGATCGCCACATGACACTCAGCCGCTCCTTGTCGACCTTGTGTTTCTTGAAGGCCCGTGGGTTCTCCGAGTGGTACACCAGCAGGGGCTTGATCTTCAGGTCGCCGCTTGCGTTGGCACAGAAGAGCAGGGTCAGACGGTCCTTCATGGGCTTGTGGCCAGGCAACTTGGCCTCCTCCTGTGTGAGGAAAGTCCTTTTGGGCATCCTCTTCCAAAACAGCCCGGTCTCGTCGCAGTTGAAGACCTGCTGTGGAACGTAGCCCTCCGTCTTCACAACCTCCAGGAACTCCAAGGCAAAGTCTTCAGCCGCAGGAACATCAGAACTGGCAGCCTCTCCATGCCTGACCACGCTGTGGATTCCGGATCTTGCCTTGAACCGGTCAAACCAGCCTCTGCTTGCCTTGAAGACTTCTGGCTCGGCCGAGGTTCCTGGCTGTTCCCGGATGAGGTCTGCGTGCAAGGCCTTGGCCTTCTCACAAATCACGGCCTCAGTCACTGTGTCCCCTGCACGCTGCTTCTCTTCTAACCAGATGAGCAGCAACTTCTCGACCTCCTCCAGAACAGCTGGGCGGTTCTTCACGATCCTGGTGACTCCCTTGGCTGCATCAGTCGCAAGGATCTTCTCTCTCATCTTCAGGATGGTCCCGATGGTCGATGGGTTCCTGCCGTACTCCCTGGCGAGGTCCGTCACACGCATTCCACCGTCGTGCTTCCGGATGATCTCCTTCTTCATCTCCAGCGTCACCTTCTCCTTCTTCCTCTCGCCGGCCTCCGCAGCAGCAGCCTTCTTGGGTCCCATGGCAGCACAGCTGTTACCTTTGTAAACTCAGAAAAAGAAAAAAAAAATCAGCAATTCAAACCCACAACCAAGTCCTTGAATTCCAAACACCCAACCCAAAATCCAAAAACCCCAAAAAAGTTTTAAAAGTTTAACTTACGAAATGGCTGCAAATCACCAAAGTCTTCAAAATCCTCAAATGGCTGCAAAAGAAGTTTTGGGAAAGCTTTAAAAATCACCAAAGTCTTCAAAAACCTCAACTGTTCCCCCAGCCCCTCCCCAACTGTTGCAAACCCCTCCCCAACTGTTGCAAACCCCTCCCCAGCTGTTCCCCCAGCCACCCAGCACACAGAAATTCAAAACCCAGAAAATTTTTCAAAAAAAACCAACATGGCCCAATGGTTACAGAAAACCATAAAAATTCAAAAAAAAGCACACAAGCTCCCAGATTCCTGCAAACCCCTCCCCAGCTGTTCCCCCAGCCACCCAGCACACAGAAATTCAAAACCCAGAAAATTTTTTCAAAAAAACAACAACATGGCCCAATGGTTACAGAAAACCATAAAAATTCAAAAAAAAAGCACACAAGCTCCCAGATTCCTGCAAACCCCTCCCCAGCTGTTCCCCCATCCACCCAGCACACAGAAATTTAAAACCCAGAAATTTTTTTCAAAAAAAACCAACATGGCCCAATGGTCACAAAAAATCATAAAAATTCAAAAAAGCACACAAGCTCCCAGATTCTTGCAAACCCCTCCCCAGCTGTTCCCCCATCCACCCAGCACACAGAAATTTAAAACCCAGAATTTTTTTCAAAAAACCCAACATGGCCCAATGGTCACAAAAATCATAAAAATTCAAAAAAAGCACACAAGCTCCCAGATTCTTGCAAACCCCTCCCCAGCTGTTCCCACATCCACCCAGCACACAGAAATTTAAAACCCAGAAATTTTTTTCAAAAAAAAACAACATGGCCCAATGGTTACAGAAAACCATAAAAATTCAAAAAAAAAGCACACAAGCTCCCAGATTCTTGCAAACCCCTCCCCAGCTGTTCCCCCATCCACCCACCACACAGAAATTCAAATCCAGAATTTTTTTAAAAAAACAGCAGAGTGGCCCAATGGTCACAGAAAATCATAAAAATTCAGAAAAAACCCACACAAGCTCCTAGATTCTTGCAAACCCCTCCCCAGCTGTTCCCCCATCCACCCAGCACACAGAAATTTAAAACCCAGAAATTTTTTTCAAAAAAAACCAACATGGCCCAATGGTCACAAAAAATCAAAAAAATTCAAAAAAAACCACACAAGCTCCCAGATTCTTGCAAACACCTCCCCAACACCAAGTCCTTGAATTCTGAACACCCCAACCCAAAATCCAAAAAACCCAAAAAAAGTTTCAAAAGTTTAACTTACCAAACAGCTGCAGAAGAAGTTTTGGAAAAGCTTCAAAATCCAGCAAACTCTTTAAAAAGCTCAGAAAGGCCACCACACCGCGTGCAATGTGTTGCTCCTCGAGGTCAAGTCGCAACTGCACCTCTTCCAGCAATGCACCCTGGGTTTTAACGGTTTTACGAAAAAGGAAACAAACTTGCAAGACGTTTTCGTCTTGCGAAGCAAGCCCATAGGGACATTCGTCTTGCGAAGCAACTCGAAAACGAAAAAACCTTTCGTCTTGCGAGTTTTTCGTCTTGCGAGACGTTCGTCTTGCGGGGCACCACTGTATTTACTTTTCTGCCTAGGCACTAACTGTTCCTGACTCAGCCTTTTTCATTACACTAACTCAACCTACCCACAAACTCTATCCCAATTCATTCCCACTCCAACCAATCATCCAACTCCCAATGAACTCCTCCCTTTGCCCCTCCCAGAGCTGGTTTTATAGTCCCTCTGACTCCACCCCGGGTCCTGATTGGGTAACCTGTTTAACTATTTCACCTCCAGCACTCTCATATGTTAACGTTACAGGGGGGTGCTGGGGAGGGGGAGGGTGGGGAGGTAGTGACATTCCTAAGCATTGTTGCGCTCACAAGAAAAAGTAGAGAAGCTTGACAAATGTGTTTTATTGATGTTTTAGTTTGGTCAGAACCACAGAGATGGCTATCAGCCGTTAGGTATACTTGAAGGTAAATTGAATTGAACAGGAACACAAGATGAGCAGCATACTCTGAAAGGGTAATGAGTCACAGAGGGACAACTTCAGTCATAATGTGTATTATCACCAGCTGTTTCTTTCTTTTTCTTTATCCCTCCAGGATATATCTCCAGATATGCCAAGAAAACCACACGGCTAGTCTTGGTTCTAGTTTTGGGTCAGGGTTCCCAGAATTCAATGTCTCATTCATGACCACATCATTATATGATGTTTGACTATAGTTTTCTAAAAGAGGCAACACCTGGGTTTATTAACTGTAAGGATGGAATGTTCTGTTAATTTGGATTCTCCCATTTTTCCAGTCATAAAACCAGTTCTCCACATTTGAAAGCAATTTGTGAATTTTTTTAATTAAAAAAAAAATTGTGAAAGTTTGCAGCGCCTTCATGCAAATTTCTCTTGATAAACACATTTTTATGAAGTTTTGACTAATGTACACATTTTTGCAATCAAATTTCCTTGATATAATACATTTCTGTACGTTATTTTCATTTTATGCACAATTTCCTATAAAATATGCATTTCTGCAAACACTACTTGGAAAACTGATAACAAAATTAGGGTAAGTGTGAATTTAGAAGCATCGTTGTGCTTCAGTCCTGGGAGATACAAATTTGATAGACTCATATTCAATGCATACTGAATTGAATTTCTTCCCCAGCCCTAGCTGAGAGGGTATGTAACTCTTTTTATTTTGAATGCTTTTAGATGTTTTTAAATGTTTGAAGTATGTTTTATTTAGTTTTAGTTGTTTTGTTACTTGGCTGTTTGCTGCCCTGTGCTCCTTTGGGAGGAAGGGCAGGATAGACATTTTAAAAATAAATAAATGAAAAATAAGACAAGCCAGGTTAGTTCAGGAAATGGAATACAGGAGCTTGCCGAGAATTGAACTGGGGACCTTTTGCTTGCATAGCAGATGTGCTAACTCTGAGCTACAGCCCTGCCTCTGCGTATCAACAACAACCGGTTTGCCCCATGGGATGGAAAATACCATCCATTTCACTGTATAAATGTTGAAATGCACTGAAACATCCTGTTTTGAAAAGCTGAAATAGGTAGAGAATGAAGATGAACTGAAGGACAATGCAAAGTGATCCACAGCTAGTCTGGCTGATAACTCCATGGTTACCAGCTGGCTTCCATTTCTATGTACCACATATATTTTGGAAGTTGGCCACTAGACCTTTCTCTTGAAAGGGGCCCATTCTCATTCTCTATCTTCCCACAGTGTTTCCATGGGAAACTGTGATTAAAAGAAGAAAGGAAATCAGATATATAATTTTGGAGCTCAAGTCTCATCCCACTGTGTGTCTAAAAATGTGGAGTTTGTTTTACTTGTATATAAACTTTCTCTGGTCTAGTTTGACAAAATGTTTCTTTTTGGAAACCCATAGCCTACAGTTTGTAGCAGGGCTGGAAAGCTTGTAGCCTTCCAGATACTGTTGGGATAAAATGATAATCATATAAGTTTCCAGTGTGCAAACATTCACTCGAAAAAGCTTGCCCACTTCAGCCCTTTGTGAACTGGCTATATGCATCAATCACTTTCTGAAAGGTTTTTCATTCAGACTGCCAAAGTGTTTGTATCTGAACTAGAGCTGTACTGAATCAACAAGAACTATTTCCCAGTCATTTCACCCACCTCAAAATTCTGTTGTGTTTCTGTAAGATCCCTATACAGTGCAGAGTCCTAGAATCAGAGTTCTACATTGCACAGGGGACTTCATGGCAAGAGGAGATGCCTTGCTGCAGAGAGTTGCTCTCCAACTCATTTAGAATGATGGGTGCAGAGCTTGTGAATGCTTGTGAATGGCATATTGATTGATTGATTGATTGATTGATTGAATTTATATACCGCCCTATAACTGCAGGTCTCACTTGTATGCTCTTTTTGCTTGCAAGTATGCCAGCAGAGTACATGAACAGGAATTGTTAGGGAGTGTCAGGGACTAAAGAGGAGGAGGTATGGTGGAGGTTGTCCCCCACCCCTTCTCCTGTAGCTTCCAGGGAAGAGGAAGGCAGTCTCAAATTACAGCAGGGCTTTGAGGAAGATAGCAGCTCAGAGAAAGGCCAACAGCAGAGTTATGAGGTGTTAGGAGGAATAGGAGGAGGGGAGGCAGAGCAGCCAGCTGACATGTCACTGGATGGCATTACCGACCCCCTTCTCCCAAAATGTGGCGTTTGTTAAGAGTGCAAGAACAAAGGGCACAGAGACAGTTGACCACGGGTGGACACTGTAGAGGCAGGTGTTGTTGCTAGAAGAGAGGGTGGAGGTGCTCAGTGCGAGCAACGCCATCATTGAGGAATTACTGGATTTCTTTGTCTTTCACCATGATGATGGAATAAAATCAAAGTCAGAACTTTCTTGTTTCCTCCCCGCTTCTTGATGCCATTGGGGGAGGAAAAGTCCTCAAGCCTGACAGGGAGGGATCATAGCTCAGTCTTCTTCTTCTTTGGCAATCACTCGCAGCCGAGTAAGAGTGTCTTCCATAAAGACGGTTTCAACAGTGAGTCCGTAAGTGACTGTGGAGGCCAATTCTGGATCCAAATGTCCTTCCACAGCTCAGTAGCTGAACATCTGCTGCACATGCTGAAGTTCCAGGTAGGGATGAGAATGTTCACTGTTTGAAACACTGGAGAGCATTGCTAGTCACTGCAGACTAGCACTGAGCTAGATAGATCAGTGTGGCCTGACTCTGTATAAGATAACTTTCTATGTTCTTAATAGTAATAAGGGCTATTGATACAGGGACATAAACAGACTGAAAGCTCCATGGTTTGCAACCTGAGAGATATAAATACTTGTGTTGTTTTTGTTATGAAGATGCCTATTAACTAGTTTTCCTTGTCAGCACTCTGGGTATGCCCACATTGTATGCTTTTTTTTGACCATTATTAATCCCCCAAACCCACAAAATATATGGCGCTATTGATTTGCCCTCATGAGACTGTATCAGGCTG